AGGTGCAGAGTAATGTCTCCCTAATTGACGCTCGGATTGTCCACAAAAACGGACAATTTGGGAAGAGAAGATACGAATATTCCAGCTTTTAGGATCGTTTTTACGGTCATTGATTCTCAACAATCATAAGAACGGACTACAAGGCTCGAATAATCGCATCTCCTCTTCGCAAATTGTCCATTTTCGCGCGCAATCTAAGCGTCAATAAGGGAGACATTACTGTATCTATCGATCTCTCTGCTTCGCGGATTATGGTAATGTCTCCCTTACTGACGCTCTGTACTGAGAATTACCCTGTTTTTATTTTTTAATCGTTTACGTACGAATAAAGAGACGATTATAATTACGATTACACTATACGATCACTATTACTGTACTACTACTATACGATCACATACTATACGATTATATTGTACAGAAAAAAATATTGATTTTTTTTCACTTTTTTCCATCGCTCGCATCGCGCATCGGTGCAACGTTTTCCAGTTTCTCGTGGGACCGGAGACACACGAGACCGCGCGGCACCGCGAACGCTTCTCAGCGTTATTTACTTTTGCCGATGTTAAATGAAATTACAATGACATTCGAGCAACGACTTTCCCCGGGGAATCTGCCTCTTAATAGGCGGCCCGGTCGTTTCTTTTCCAGCGTCGAGGAGAAGAAGGAATGCAACGATAAAAATCATTGGAACAAGTCCCACGACTTGTGCACCGGAAAGCGTTCCTCGCCCCGGCATTTCCCACGTAGACAATAATTTCTCCTTTGCATCCACGCCGGCCCACGGCTTAAATACGGCGGGGCTCGAGGAGCCATTACCGTCCGCGTCAGAGTTCTTTCTTTCTCCGATTCGAAATCGACCGCTGCATTTGGAAACGGTTTCCGGTCGAACGTGTTACAGAACGCCTCGCGGCGTCTGCTCGCTTTCTTTCCGATCGTACTATTTTCTTTTCTTTTTCCTTTTCTTTTTCTTTTTCTTTTTCTTTTTCTTTTCCTTTTTCTTTTTCTTTTTCTTTCCTTTTTTTGCGTGACGCGATGAAATCGTATGCAGAGATGAAAGCTATGCATCAAAAGTCGGAGTTGTAACGTATGCACATCGACGATCGTAGGCCGCGCTGTTCTCCATTCCTCGCGATTTCGATCTCTATGCAAAATCGGAGCAAGCGAGAAAAATTCCTTTCGACTCGTCGGAGCCGTGCAATACGAAAGAAAATACCAGCGAGTTTCCTATGGTTCTTGCTGTAATCGCTGATTGATTCGTGTTTCACGAATGTTACACGTTCCAGAGAAAAACCGTATATATGCGTTCATTGTTATTTTATGAAATGAGAACTTGTTGGCCAGGCGAATGTTATTTACATGATTTTTTATTTCGCATAAAAATGCTACGAGCCCAACAATAATATCTTTCGAATCCGCTGTTCGGCGATGTATTATGCAAGAGATTTTTCTCAGCGGACGTACTGCAATTTTTCCGGTAGCCCGTCATTATTTTTGTTATGCACGCGATGCGCTTCGACTCCACGGCGACGGCACAATTAACGAAACAGCGCACTACGGGGCGATCGTACGGCAAAACGCGGTGGAGAGTCGTTTTATAAAAGTGTGTTTATAGTAAAGGCAATTTTCATCGATTTTTACAGTTAAGGCAATTTTTATAGATTATATTTTTCTAACTATATTTTATAGTTAGACTAGTTATACTAGCAGTTATATATAGTTATACTAGTAGTTATATATAGTTATACTACTAGTTATATATAGTTATACTTCTAGTTATACTAGTAGTACTAGTAGTTTTGCGCGATGCTATTTCTCTGGACGGCAGAGTCTGATATGTACTGTACAGAGTCTGATACTGTATATACAGGGGGTGTCCCAAAAATGTCTCGCAATCCGAAAGTGGTGGGTTCCTCGAACCATTTGAAGCAACTTTTTCCTTTACAAAAATGTTCTCCGAGGCACCGTTAACGAGTTATTAACGAAAAACAGAGACCAATGAGAGATCGCACACGGCTGACGCTCCGCCCTCGCGATCAATGTCGCTGCGTCGGACGGCCGGCGCGACGCGGCATTGGCCGCAAGGGCGGAGCGCCGGACGCACTGATTCTCCGATTGGTCACATTTTCGTAAAGGAGAAAGTTACATGAAATGACCTCAGGAATCACTCCCTTCCAGGAGAGCAGCTGACGCGTGGCAGCCGAGCCAATGAGCGGAACTGGGCTTGGCGCCCTGGTTGGCTGGGCCGCCTCGCGTCAGCCGTACCCGATTCTTATTGGCGCACTGTTTTTCGTTCATAACTCGTTAACGGTGCCTCGGAGAACATTTTTGTAAAGGAAGAAGTTGCTTCAAATGATCCGAGGAACCCGCCATTTCCGGATTGCGAGGCATTTTTCGGACACCCTGTAGACTGTTGTAAATCGATGCGAAGATAAAAGAAGTGTGAAACAATGCGTATGAAGACGATTATTTGGTTCAAACGATGAGCGAGTGAGCTACTAGTGCAAGCCACTATAGTGGCGCGTCGTTCTGAAAGATGACATTCGCGGAAGCCACTATAGTGGCGCGTCGTGCCTAAAAGGTTAAAGGAAACTAGAAAATAAACCAAACAACGTATTCGAACCGTGTAAGATCGAGAAATAAGTTGGACGTACGCGACACGTCGGGCGTGAAATGTTATTTTCTTCGCCGCGTTCGACGCGCGTCCGCCCCGCGGCGCTGCGGTCGCGTCACGTTTCTGCGGCTCGGTGGACCGTAACACGGTGTCGAAAAAGGGGCCCCGTGGTGGAACCCGAACAACACTTCGCGGGGAACATTGTTGCGCGCCGGTCTTACGCGGGCCTCACGATTCGAATCACGTAAGTTCCGTCGAAAAATTCCTACCGTTACCGGAGAACACGAACCGGCCGAAGGGACCGGGACCGTGAGCGCGTCCGCGCGCGACGCATTCTGCATGAAACGCGAACCGGACTGTACGTATTTGTTTGCATTGTTATACATAAGCTAAACGGCCGCCAAGTTTCTCGACGAGCCGGTTCAGTCTCGCGCGCGCTGTGAGTAGAAACTGAAAACGCCGGGTTTCACGTGTGGACGACGCTCCTTCTGAAAATGTTCGGCCGGCTAAAACGAACGCGACCCGTCGCAGCACCGAGCACGGTGCACGCACCAGTCGCTCGAATATTGCAGGTGAATCGCTGCAATTAGGAGGACGGCTCGCCGTTTTTTTCCGCGCTTTGTTCGCCACGCCGTTTCATTCGGAGAAACGTGATCTCTCGCTCGGCGATAGAAAGGAGTCGGCTCGAGGCAATTAACACGATGGTTTCACAACGGACAGCAGTGCGGAGGGATGCGTCGAAAGGCGTTCTACAGGCTGTCCCAAAAATGTCTCGCAATCCGGAAATGGCGGGTTCCTCGGATCATTTGAAGCAACTTCTTCCTTTACAAAAATGTTCTCCGAGGCACCGTTAACGAGTTATCAACGAAAAACAGTGCGCCAATAAGAATCGAGTACGGCTGACGCGAGGCGGCCCAGCCAACCAGCGCGCGAAGCCCAGTTCCGCTCATTGGCTCGGTCGTCTTGCGCCAGTCGACCTCGCCTCTCATTGGTCACTGTTTTTCGTTGATAACTCGCTAACGGTGCCTCGGAGAAAAATTTTGTAAAGGAGAAAGTTGCTTCGAATGACCCGAGGAACCCGCCACTTTCGGATTGCGAGACATTTTTGGGACACCCTGTATATCCATGAATGAATGAGATTCGGCTGCCGAAATCAATTTTTCGGTGTTTTTCGAATTTTCTTTTTAATAATTAAACTTTCTAGCTCTCGCGATACAATGAACCAAGTATATACAGAAATATATATATATATAATATGTTATATTAATTTGTAGCTACAAGGATCTATCGAATATTGTATCCATTCGTAACCCTTTGCAAATAATATATAAATTTAATCGTGTTGGCGCCACTCCTCGCAATCGCGAGAACAAGGTGCCGATTAACCGTAGTAAATTATTTAAAAATAATTAATTCAACAATCCTATTTATTTCTTACCGCGCGTAGATCCACGGAGCAATTATTCGAACGGGTACGCAGGCAATATCGTAAATAATTAATATCGCAGAACGTTATTAGTTCCTATGTCCCTAACACGTTGGAAGCACGTTACGGTAATTGTGCTCTTTGCGCTCGCGTATTTGGTGCGTGAAATCTAGGTAATCATTGTTTTACCGACTCTTTAAAGGAGCGGAACATTGTTATATACATAGATTTCTCTCGCATGTTGCGCCCAGTTCGTCGTTCTTTCCTTTGCAAGTCTGAACAGCTCTACCGTGCCAGACATAATATGTTATATTAAGTCGAGTCATATCGATAACTTCCCCGCTTTTTTATCAGACATCTTTATTTCGTTCTCCTTCATTTATCTCTTCTGTTCTTCTTCTTTTTCTTTTATTTCATTTATACCGAATTATGTATAATGTATAAAATAATATCATTATATATCATATATATCGCATATATCATATACATAATAATGTATATTATTATGTCTAATTAGCGAAAGCAAAAACTAGTCCCGCGGTGACTCGTAGCGGGAATTTATTTATTCGACCTAAAAATGTTCGATCGAAGAAATGTATGAAGAAAAGTGTAGAAAATTATCGAGACATCGAGAAATACCAGCTTACAATGATCGGTCGATCAATTTTTATCGCGTCACGAGGCTTCCGCAGCCTCGGAGAGATCTATAAAGATTAATAGAATTATCTGGTTAGAGCAGTTCTCGCCTTATAGATTCTGGCGCAATTACAATTTCGCGCGCTGGCATGAATTCACCGACACGGCAAACACGTTGGCCGCGTTTGCATACATTTCGAATGACAAACATCCAGCGATTATCGTGCGTATTCTTAGTCTCGTTTGCACAGCGATAACGATCGAAAGGCCGTGGGGCACGCGTGTACCAAGAACGCTAAAAGAGCCGACGCGTTACGGTTCTCCTACCTGAGCTTTCTGTGTAATGGCGAGAGCAAACTCTTCATCGGGAGCGAGATCCTCGGGGGTCATATTGCCACCCCCAGGTGCAGTACCGTAACCAGCGGTGCCGTTGCCGATCCTGGCCGCACCCCCTGCCGAAGCTGGACAATTACCAACACCGTTTCCTCCGCCCGCAGCTTCGCGTTTTCCTGAAACCAGACGGGACAACGAAATGCGTGAACAAAATGATTTTCAAGATCGTGGAGACCGCTCAAACGTTTTGGATCGCGGGGGTCGAAAGGTCAGTGCGAACTTTTTCTTGGGAAAATTGTATAATAGTATATAATATATATAATATTATATATATTATACTATATACTATAATATACTATAATATATATATATATATATTATAATATATAATATATAATATAATATATATTATAGTATTATATTATATATATTATAACAGACATGGCTATAATATTATATAATAGTATAATATATAATTATATTATATATATATTATATATAGATTATAGAGTATTATATTAAATATATATTATAACAGACATGGCTATAATATTATATAATAGTATAATATATAATTATATTATATATATATTATATATAGATTATAGAGTATTATATTAAATATATATTATAACAGACATGGCTATAATATTATATAATAGTATAATATATAATCATATTATATATAGTATAATATATAATCATATTATATATATTATACTATTATATCATATATATATATATATATATATATATATATATATATATATATATATATATTTTTTATTATTATATTATATATAAAATAATAT